AACCAATTGATGTAGTGGGTGTGGCCTGCTTTCTGGGTCCACTGGTGGAACCTCTTCTAACCGTTTCGGTAGATTTGATGAACCAGTTCTACCGAATAGGTGCGAACTGGTAGGAATCCACCTCTGGGCTCACCCATTAGGTGAGATCAAAGGCTGCCTCCTTTTCCCCACTCCATCCAATTCAGATACCTCCAAAAATTCTACAAAAGGAACCGATAATCAGCAGAATCGTGTCTCTGTGCCTACCCCAAGAGTGAAAATAAAAAAAAAGAGAGAGAGAATTTGGGGTGAAGTCTTAAAGATGCACAATATGTTCTTCAACATCAGCTTGCAAACGCAACTTCCATATTCTTTTCCTTCAGTTGAAGAGGTTGCTGACTCTTTCTTCCGGCACGTTGAACAGCCGTGTCATTTCCCTGAACTAACCAGCCTCGCAGCCATATTCTCACAACGTGCATGTCTAAAATGGGATCGGCTAGTTTGTGACTCAGGGTGCTCTATGGACCCGAGCAATTGAATTAGTTCAGCAAACCGTAGTTACCATGTCCTGCAAACACAATCAGTCAAGCGTCGCACGAAGGATTACACATATCGCCACCTGCTAACGTTTGCTGATCAGAATGCGGTTGGAAAACAGGAGAGTGGAAAAATACAGTAAGGTTTAGCAACCCAGCCTGTTGCTGTTCCAGGCCTTGGCTTAAGTCGGAGACCTCGCAGCTTAAAGGATTCAACTTTACTTGTGAAGTGCAACCTGGCAAACACCAGTGTTTTGTTTGCTCAAATGTTCAACGGCTTAGCTCTAAGTTCATGGCAGGCCCTGTAGTGGCAGCTCTCTGGATAAAGAGAAAAAAATATATGATTGCAGTCACCAAATTTCCTGGGCAATTTGTCAGAAATGGCTATTTTGGAACACTTTGTAGAACTTCTATTCAGCTCAACTCAACTCACAGGATCGCTGCGAGTTGAGTTGAGAAATGCTATGTTGGGATAACAGGAAGAAGCACTATTCGGTAGGCCCACTGTCTTGAGTTATTCATAAAAATAACAAAGGTGAGATAAAAGTAAAATAAATAAAAATGCAGGGTTGTCCTCAACTTAGGATCAAAATTGAGCCCGAAATATCTGTGGCTAAATCAGGCAAAGAAAGTTTTGCCCCATTTTTCGGCCTTTCTCACCACAGTTGTTAAGTGAATCACTGCAATTGTTAAAAGTTAGTCACTTTTTAAAGAGAATCTGGCTTTCCCGTTGATTGTGCTTGTCAGAAGTTCGCAAAAGGGGATCACATAACCTCAAGACCCTGCAACCGTCATAAATATGAGTCAGTTGCCAAGCGTTTGAATTTTGATCATGTAACCATGGGGATGCTGCGATGATCATGAGAAAAACGGTTAGTTCTGCATTCAATACCATCGTACCGGACATTCTTCTAACTAAACTAAGTCAGCTAGTGGTACCTGAACACACTTGCAAGTGGATCACAAGCTTCCTAACAGACAGGAAACAGCATGTGAAGCTAGGCAAAATCACATCAGATACCTGTACAATTTGGCACAGAAGCTCCCCAGGGCGGTGTGCTCTCTCCACTTCTCTTCTCTCTATATACCAATGACTGCATCTCAAACGATCCATCTGTTAAACTACTGAAGTTTGCAGATGATACAACAGTGATTGGTCTCATTCGATGATGATACCGCATGCAGATGGGAGGTTGGACAACTAGCCTCATGGTACGACCGGAACAATCTTGAACTAAATACACTCAAAACTGTAGAAATGGTTGTGGGTTTTAAAAGTAAACCTCCTCTACTACCACCTCTTACAATACTAGACAACACAGTATCGAGAGTAGAGACCTTCAGGTTTCTAGGTCCTATCGTATCTCAAGACTTAAAATGGACACCTAACATCAAAAACATCATCAGAAAAGCACAACAAAGATTGTTCTTTCTGTGCCAACTCAGGAAGCTCAAACTGCCCACGGAGCTGCTGATATAGTTCTACAGTGGAATTACTGAGTCTGTCATCTGCACCTCCATAACTGTCTGCAACCCAACAAGACAGACACAGACTTCAGAGGATAATCAGAGCTGCAGGAAAAACAATTACTGCAAACCTGCC